TGCTGCTATAGTACTGGATTCACAGAAAGTTATAGGGCATGCTCTATCAAAACTCATGGGTTCGCCATCTTAATATGTACAGAACTTTCTCGTGGCCACATTTATATACTTCCTTTCTTCTGTGTATTTCCTCTTCATTAAACTAAGAGTAGGTTTAACTGTGGCAACCACACCTTGGTGAGGAACTCATGTTTTATTTTATATTTATTATGAAGCTTTCAGAAGGGATTAAGCAGATAAAACATGTCATTGTATTGGGATTGGTGATCTGCCATGGACCCTGAATGCCCCTATGTCTTTCTACTGGGTATGTCAGAAATGCAAAGCCCTGACATCTCATTACTTCAGAAATGTATCAAGGTTGTTTTTGCAGTGAGCAACCCTGAGTGATGAGGTCATGTTCCTGGAGACAGAGAATGGACACGTAACTGCTTACCACAAAAGTGGTGAGTTCCCTAAACTCACGGTCCTCTCCTAAAATGCAGCCCTGTGTGTGCTGCCACTCACCTAGACCCACCTGCATCACACTCATGGTACTTAGGAGGGCATAAGGAACTGATGTGAATATGAACTGTGGCTATTATTTTTGCTCTGGCTAATAATATCCCCTTTGTTACCAAACTATAAGTTTTGTGTCTTCTGGTACCATTCCTCAAATAGCAAGTAGTCAAACCTTATTGTTTTTAAGTTGAGTAAAATCTTAGGCCCTTCACTGTTCTTGAAAATTACACCCATCCTATTGGAAATTCTTTAAAAACTGTAACTTTCTATGGTAGCGGAGGTGCAGAGAAAAGGGCCCTCTGTACCATGCTGCAGCCTTTTGGAAAGCAATTTGACAATAATATACATTAGTGTACACTTATTGGTAAATTCATTGAATTTTATACATCAAATATGTGCAGACTTTGCATATCCAGCATACCTCAAAATAGTGGTTTAAAAAGGATATACAACATCTAATATAAAATATATACATGCATTTTAGTGTGAAATCTCATTTCTGAGAATCTATCCTATAAATATAAGAGTATACATACAAAGGTGTTCATTAAAGCACTCATGATAGTTAATACTGAATGCCGATCAAGAGAGTAATTCTTCAAGCTATCAAAGAGAGCAGTTAAATCTCCATTTATGGATCTGAAAATATTATCATCATGTGGGTTTTTTTAATGAGAGGAAGGGAAAGAGAGAGAGGAGAGAGAGAGAGAGAGAGAGAGAGAGAGAGAAAGGAACATCAATCAG